AATGCAAAACCACACATCGCCACAAGGAGGCAGCCCCACTCTACATGGCGACGACACAATGTGCACTGATCGAGAGATTCCGACACAATCCTGGGATGTCTGGCGGAGGAGGGTCCATTGTTGCCGACTTTACAAGCTGGTCACGAGGTTTTTTGCGACTTTGTGGGTCTCCCAAGCAATGAAAATTTAAGGGAATTTCTGGGCCAAAATGGCATTCAGCATATGTTGGAACAATTGCCAGGTATGTGTTAAGGAACCTATGTCAGTCTATTGTTATAGAAATGTAATATAAAACATTGAAAACGCATTTCTTTAGAACTGCTTTTGTGTTTAGTTGATTATCTCCCCGTCGAACCTGCGATGAGCACGGTTGGCTTCGTACGGTGCGAAATAAGTTCAACAACATCAGCAACAGACATTATCTAAACAAGCTCTGAGTGCGTTTCGTAATAATTCGCATTTTCTTCACGCAACCATTGTGTTTACATCGGAGGGACGTTTCGTCTCGAAGTTTTTCGGATTGCAATGGGGGACGAGTGCGGGGGGGCGGGATATCAGACATTCAGTTCACCCCGTTCAATAGTGGTCCATTATCTCGTGATATTCCTGATGACACTTAAACCCGAGCTCGCTCGAGATTTCATGAGGTTCGTTTGGGGGAGACTCCGCTCACTTTCACGAGTTGACAACGCTCACCAACCAACCATTATCAATCCACTGCTGGATGAAGGCCTTGCGAGCCTTCGCCACCTCTCCTTGGTAACAAGGACGGCGGGGGGTGGCGGTGGATGTTGTTGTTGTTGTTGGATGTTGTTGGATGTTGTCGGATGGGAAACTATATCTTGGCGAGGGGAGTGGAGTAACTACTGGGGTCGTTTTTAATGTTTTTATTTCAACGCGAGCCCGGCACAGAGCACAACCCGCGACGTGGGAAGGGCGACACAGAAACACCGCGGCTCTTGGCCACGAGTTCTGTGCGCCGCAGCTTAAAGACGGGGGGTGGTGGTGGAGTGTGGACTCGCTTCCCGACTGAGTGAGGGCCGCGACCGGGGTCGTCAATGCCTCTAAAAGGGCTGCGTCTGCTGCTTCTGCTCACAATTGGAATTTTCAGCCATAATGCCATGACATGGGTGGGTCTGCCGAATTATTGGGTCCCCTAAAGGCACCCTGACTTATTGTACTGTCGCTAACCTCTATTACCTTGTTAGCCTTGTACAAAAAAAGTCCTGGTGTGTGTAATGCTTTTATCTTTTTTTATAAATACATCTCTAGGAACGTGTTTGTCGTGACGCCGCAATCGACGGCGTGGGACGTGTTCGTTTGTAGCCCCACGCTGCAATGCGAATTGTCTCGAGGCGCCCAGCGCGTGCGTGCGTGTCGGGAGCGGTGGTGCAGCGGTTAGCGCATTCTGGGCAAACGGTCCCGGAATCCCGAGTTCGATTCCCGGCTCACGGCCAACACCGGTGACGATTATCTGAAGCGGTCCTGGGCCTCTCCTGGGTCGACTCGGTCTCAAATGAGTACCTGGTGCGGTGTGCAAGCATCGCCACTGGGGAGACAAAGGCGGCCGGGCGTGGGGTTGACTACTCAACGGCCTTCATAGTTGCTCCTCGTGAACAGCACACGCTCCAATCCTGTTAAAGGTTATACGGGGGGTCTTTGTCTTGGGGGGTGTCATTGTTGCAAGCACGTGGGGGCACAGCTAGCCTGCTTGACCAGGTTATTTACACGGAGTTTGCTTGCATACACGTGTTGTGTCACAAGCATATTTCAATGCAGAAAAAGCATTCAGAATGGCCAAAGGCTTTTGACTCACCACGCACATATCACGTCCGCAACATTTGAAACAAGTTTTGAATAGTCAGTGTACGTCATAGCTGTATGCAGCAATTATGCTGTAGTGATCATGATAATTTTACAGTCCTTGCCTTTGTCAAGCCACTGCTGAATGAAGACCTTCCCCGTGCTGTGTTGGTTGTGGGGGTTGTTTCACCATACTTCACCACACTGGTCAGTGTGGGTTGGTAAAGGGGGAACCTCCCAGGACTGGCTCAGATGTCGCTTCACCACCAAACTTAAACATTTTTGTTTTACCAGGTAAGGCCCACTGGCTTATCATTGGAAAATTCATAGCAGCCAAAATTCTCGAAGCACATTGTAAATGTGTAGAGAAACGCCGGAGGACCCAGAGAAAAATCCTCGCGACCACCGGGAGAGAGAGAAACGCAAACTCAGCAGGCGTCAGGTTCAGGATCGGACCCACGACCTCCTTGCATACCAGGCGAGGTAGTTAACATCTCGTCACTGGCGACACTGATGTTAGCCATCCCAGCGAACTGAACGTAGGTACACCGGGTAGATGGCGCAGTGTGCCAACAAATATATAAAGACCACAGTAATACAAATGGCCTTTGATAATTGAGAATCTCCACGAGTTTGAGAATGAAGATTCCTTTTTGATGTTTGGCTAATTCCATTGAGTGCCTGGAGAAAACCCACACGCACCAAAGTCCACACAGATAGATTCACGAATCTATTGCTGTACTGCCATCGCATGGCCACCTCGCAGCCCAAGCCTACTGCTGCTACTACACCCGGGTATTCTCCAGCAGTCTCGCATCCAAGAACTCACCCGACTCAACCTCTGGTTAGCTTCCCAAGATCGCTTGACAGTTTTGCGCACACACAGGATGATTGGTTCACGCTATACTCGTCGTGCATTGTGTTGTACAGTATGGTGACTGCTGTTTGTTTTCAGAGGGGCAAGTTATATTCATATTCAGGGTCTGGAATGCTATTGCCAATAAACTGCAACTTGAATCGCTACCAATGAGATATTCTCTCAAAACTGCTCGAGAGGAGTTGTACACCCCGAGCTGCTACTGCTATTCATTGACGTAAAATAAAATAAAATGTTTTGCTCCGGATGACGCTGCAAAGTATTATCTGTATTTTGATTTAGCATGCTGATCTTAAAGGTGCATTGAAAACATTGATACTCCGACTGATGCTTCTGTTGTTGTGGAGTAATTCATGCAACCAGCTATGGCTCTAGGATTTTGGTGTTACATGTTATTTATGTAGTTTATTGTAAAAATTCGGTCACAGTCCCTATGATCACTGTTACGTTGCAATGATGGCTTTATTTTTTGGTGATTTCGAAAAGTTTTTTGGTTTGGACATGTTTGTTTTGTTGTAGTACGGAGTTAGACTGATGGCGTTAATCTAAGTTTTCTTGTGGTTGTTGTTGTTTGACTTGCATCCCACTGGGATTTTTTGCACACAGCGTTGGTGTACGGTGCCTTTTTCAGGAATATTTTGATGTTTTTTTCATGGATTTTCTGTTTGCACAGTCACATAGTCACTTTAAGATGTTTTCCTGTTTGTGGTTTTTTTAGTTTGTTGTGGTTGCACCCGATTCAAGAGCCGAATGGCTCACAGGGCTATACCAAACATAAATAAATAAATACTCCCCTCAACACCACATTCTGAAACCTGAGATTTGGCATGTGAGGATATGAATGTGGTCAAAGACAAAAAGACATTGTTGATGTGCAAGTTTACTTACTGTGCCAGAAGTGGGGGGCGATAGCGGCTGACGGGGGGGGGGGGGGGGCGGAGGGGTCACGTTGGTGGTGGTCCCTTTGCCAGCGATTTGAAGGACCTGCGTGGTTTTTGTTAATTGACTTTGAGTATAGGATGGCAAACATATAAGCCTCGGCCGTGTATTACATAAATTGTGGGTATCAGATGTGAGCGTGCAGTGTTTGCAGCACTGGTTGTTGTCGGCCTCGTTCTTTCGATGAATGCTTGCTCAGCAAGGGGGGGGGGAGGTGGGCAGCTTGTGGCCCACCAGCACAACTGTGACTCTTTCCGCCATCACCACCACCACCCCACGCATGTGCGATGGAGAATCCACTCACGGCAAAGACGCGCAGGTGCAGCCTTGCAATTGCGTGCTCACCGGCCACACCTCGAGTGAGTATTTGGCCTTCTCTTCCACACTGGCGTGATATCTTAGCAGAGGTGACAGTAGAGACGCTTTATCCCAGCACACGCACCTCTAGTGAGTATTTGGCCTTCTCTTCCACACTGGTGTGAGATCTTAGCAGAGGTGACAGTGGAGACGCTTTATCCCAGCACACGCAACTTGACAATCGACTGCGGTGCACCTACATATGTACTGCTGGGTGTATGTTGAGCTTCTTTTGCACCGTGTGTAGCCAACCGTGCTAATCGGAGGTCCGGGGGAAGGGTGGGCAGAGATGCGGGGATTTAATACATTTATCACCTTTGTTTCAACTTTCACGCAGGGAAATCGAATCGAACCAGTGACCTCTGGATTGCAAGTCCAGTGCAAAAGCTCCACATTTGGACAAAGTGTATCAGGAGAGCTCTAACTAATTTATGAATACACTGAGATCCGTGGGAGACATGCAGAGTTTGTCAATTTAAAATGTTTACTCAAATATCTCTGTATTATTTTAGTGAGGTTGTGTATAGTGTATCACTGTATTATTGTCAATGAGACAGGACTACACCTGTGATGCAGCACCTGTAAGGGTTGATTCTATCTGTGCAGAGCTTTGAGTGTTATTGCCTTCTGGTTGTGGGGTTTCTCAAGGCATTCCGATTTTCTCCCATTTGCCAAAAAACGAATTGATGACATTTGGCCAAACATCCCAATGCAGGACCCAAATCGGACAAAGTATTTCTGCTCATTGAGGCTATTTCGGTTAAGAAAGGGCATTATCGTTCCAAAGGACACTGCAAATAGTATGACAAATACACGTGTTCCATTGTACTGAGTTAATGTCGATATGAATTATATTTGGTTTAGTATTTTTTCGATAGTTGTAAAGCAGAGACCAACAAATATATAATTTAAACGGGATTCATCCAGTTTGGTGAACACATTAATACAATGGTCTAAAAGATTTTGGAATGAATGTGTGTATGTATGTTGAACTTCTTTCGCACCATATGTAGCGATTCCGTGTAAATTGTAATGCGATTAAATAAATGAATAGATCTGTGGTGGTGTAGCGGTGGCGCAGGAGGTGGGAGTGGAGGGCACTCTGCTAGAATCCTGCCGAACAAAGATCGATTGTCACGGCTAACATCAGTGGCGAGTGAACCATTCCTGCCGTCCCCGCCTTCCGCTCCCGTCACCTACCTGGACTGAGCAGCATGGTGAAGTATGGTCAGACATCCCTCGTGAGCGGCATGGTTTGTGGGTGTAAATCCGTCATCCAGCAGTGGCTTGACGAAGGGAGTCTTTTATAGCAGGAGATTGACAATCGATTGAAACTAATAAAGTTTTTTTATCACATAACAGAGGAAGGCTACTGATGTTAAAGGTTGATACATTGTAAATTCAAGTGCAGGAATGCATCTGAATGCTTGCAATGCCACATTCTCAGAGTGTTCTGACCACACCTCACACCAATTCTAAAAATATTTGGGTTCGAATTATAAACCTTCACGACATTACTTGAGGGGTAAATAAATATTTTTATTTTAAAACACGCAAAAAGTCATACAACCAGCTGTATAACAGTCAAATAGTTACAATAATGAATAATTAAAATGAAATTCGAAATAAGAATGTCAAACACATCATGCCACAAATATGCACAAACCACCAGTTTGGAAATCCTGCACTATACATATTCAAAATAACCAGCACCGAGGCACTTACGTCAAAAAAAATAAAAGTTAAGTTCAACAAACATCACACATCATGAGGTGTCAAGAATGTACATTGCGGTATTCACAAAGAGGCGTGGCAAGGCAGTCAACGTGAAAACGCCAGAACGCAAAATCACAGGTCGTCATTTGACGTTTTGATTTCAAAAATTACTTCTACAAGGTCCCAAATATGTAAACCTTTGAGATTTTGCCTGAGCATATATTATGTAAAAACTAAACAAGCATCACCTGAGCAGGTTCGTTGTGTAACATTTGTGACCATCTCTGTCTGCCAGTGTTACGTCAAAAAAAGCTTTAGGAAAGGCGCATTCAAAGCAACCTACATTCACTCCTTATATGTATATATAAACTTCATTTCACTTTTGATTTAAAGCTTTCGTGACTGCAGGGATTCATATTCATGGTTCTTTCGGTAAATTCACGTAGAAGGGAAACAATACAATTATAAAAATATATATGTTTTATATTTTTATTATTTTATTGTTTCCCTTCTACGTGACTTTATCGAATGAACCAAGAATATTTCATTTCACTTGCTTTGATTTGTTAAAGACTCATCGAGTGAGCAGCTTGAGGCAGCTGCCTTTCATTCATACAAGACATCTCCCCAAATATTCCTTCACATTCCCAACCTTTCCTACTTCAACAAAAGGCGGCACCTTGACAGCGCCGTCTCGGGCGTGCACTCGCACGCCTTCGTGGGAAGAATATTTGCAATAAATATACGACGATGTTCTCCACCGTGCGAAGCTGGTAAAGCCACGGCAAACGTGGCATTGTTAGTTCACTGACAGGAGGGCACTTCCATAGGCTGCTTGTCACATCGATTACGTTTTGACATCGAACGAAAATCTTCTTTCTACAAAGCGTCTATAAAAGTCCAGGCTCTCATTGGGTCACTGTTGCTTCTCTACACTGCAGAAAGCAGCGCGTCACCTACCGCATTATCTATAAATGAGGGCAATGCTACTTTAGTAATTTTTGAGCAATTAGTAATTTTAGGCGGTCGTGACAATACATTGTGTGGGGAAGTTCTTCATGTTTAGCATGCACACACGTATATAAAGACAGAACAACGAAAATAAAACTAAACAAAGCTCAGCGTGGCTCCACTGTCGTCAAATGCTTGTGTTACGCACCTCCCGCAAAGTTCAGCTTTATAGTAGTAACCAGTTAAGGCTTTGTCAACATTCCGCTAGCGCCCGTCCCTCCGACAGTCTTCGACAGTGCAAATGGTCCTGCGCGATACCGTGTGCGGTTTCTCTCTCGAGTCAGGCGAGCAACTTCTCCACGCCGAAGGGCAGGCGCTGCGCCAACTGCGGGAAGACCTTGACGGGCCGGCCCTTCTCCCCGTGGGCCTCGCGAAGCCAGGCCGCCTCCGCCACGCTCAAGGGGATCAGCGGCCCCAGTGCCGTGGCGAACAGCGGCGGCGGGCCGCCCATCGCGGACTGCGCGTGCAGCGCCAGCGGGTGCATCAGCGGGCGGTAGGCCACCGCGTCGCAGGTCCACAGGCCGCCGCGGGGATCCGGCAGTCCCAGGTAGGTCACCTCGCCGAAGCCGAGGGGCGACGGCGGCCTGCGGATCACCTTGGAGGCGGGTGGCGCGGCGGGCACGTGCGGCCTGCTGAGCAGGCTCTCGATGGCAAAGGGGCTTGAGAACTTGGGGCCGGCCTCGCGTCCCCCGTACCGGCGGCAGGGCGTCTGCGCCGTGTCGCCGGGCGGCGGCGGCGGCGGCGGCGGCGGGGACGGCGTCGCCCGGCCCTCGCTGCCGGAGCCGCCCCGCGAGCGGGAGATGCGCTTCCTGCGCCGCCTGAAGACGCCGTCGGCGAAGGTGTACTCGCTGTCCGGGTTGATCATCCAGAAGTTGTCCTTGCCCCAGGGCCGCGACGGGTCGCGCAGCACCTTCACGAAGCACTCGTTGAGGGACAGGTTGTGGCGCACCGAGTTGCGCCAGCCCGTGTAGCTGCCGCGGAAGAAGGGGAACTTGCTCATCAGGTAGTCGTTGATCTCTGCCAGGGTTAGCCGGCCGGTCTGAGAGTCGCGGATCGCCATGGCGATCAACGCGATGTACGAGAACGGTGGCTTCGGACGGCGCATGTACGCTTTGCCGGACTTGGCTTGCTGCTGCTGATGGTGATGCTGCTGATGCTGCTGCTGTTGCTGCTGCTGCTGCTGTTGCTGCACGTCCGTCTCGAAACCCATGGCAGACACCGAGCTGTAGCTGCCACCTGCGCTCAGCTCTCCGTCTGAGGAGCCGAGGTGGTCGTCTTCGGGAGTGAAGGGTGACGGGGCGACCCCGGAGTCGGAGTCGCTGAGCAGCTCCGAGCACCGGCGCTCCTTGGCCACACTCTCGAGACTTTTGTGGAGACGCAGGACGCCGCCCAAGCAGATGTCGGGTTTCACCTCCATCGTGTTAAGAGGGGGAGCAGCCTCTTTTAGGCGGAACGATATCTCCACGTTATTTCATAAAACGGAGACAAAAATCATAAAAAGCAATCCCTGAGCGCACCTCGTCAACCTGCGCGCTCTGGACTTGCTCGTCACCGAAAGCCGAAGAGAGGCCCTTGTCGAGTTACGAAGCAGAGCAGCGATTCAACTCAAGTCGAAAGCGGAGATCGCTTTCCGTTCAATCAGTTTAAATGTTTTTGGTCCAACGGAGGGCCGAGTCGCTTTGAGGAATGTTTCTCTTTTACCTGTCCTTAAGTACCTGTGGGGTTCGGTGACGTCAATGGGTGCTGCCATTTGAAAGGGGGTGGGGGGGGGGGTGCATGGAGTGTGAAATGCAGGAAGACTTCCCCCTCCAGATAACGCGTATTTGTTTACTTTTGAGGAACGGGACAACATCGCCCGGAGGAGTTTTTGTCCCGCGTCGGGCAGTGCCTCGTCGCAATAAATCTATCTCCTTTTATTAAAACTGGGGATGAGAATGCGCCACTTCTAACGTGCGCAACGCGCTACCCCCTCCAGGTCGCCCTGGCGACACGGGACGCTGAAGTGTCTCGTGCGTCCACTTGACACGGCTGAGTGGCAGTCCCCTCCCTGCGCCTGGTCAAACACGCAGCATTCGCCTGTTTGCCGTCACACACGGGCAGACCGTACTCGCAGCACTCTATCCAGGGCACACACACTCGCGCGTATACACACACACTCTCGCGCGTATACACACACACACTCTCTCGCGTACACACACACACTCTCGTGTACACACACACACTCTCGCGTACACACACACACTCTCGCGTACACACACACACTCTCGCGTACACACACACTAGCGTACACACACTAGCGTACACACACACACACTAGCGTATACACACACTCGCGCGTACACACACACACTAGCGTACACACACACTAGCGTATACACGCACTCTCGCGTACACACACACACACACACTCTCGCGTACACACACACACTCTCGCGTACACACACACACTCGCGCGTACACACACACACTCGCGCGTACACACACACTCACGCGTACACGCACACTCACGCGTACACGCTCTCCCTGAACTGTAGCCACCACGCACTTGCTTATGCGCCCGTGCATCCACGAACGCACGCCGCACACCTGCTGCACATTACCCGGCGCGCATTCACTCACTGGCACACCAGACTTGTTGCATTTTATCCAGAGACAAAGGTCCCCCGTATAGACTGTTGGGGCAAGTGCTGTTAGCGAGCACCTATGAAGGCCGGCACGGCACGCGAGGGGGTGGGTGACCAGTACCACGCCCGGCCACCTTTGTCTCCCCAGTGGCGATGTTTACACACCGCACCAGGTACTCATTTGAGGCTGAGTCGACCTAGGGGAGGCCCAGGACCGGTTCAAATAATCGTCACTGGTGTTGGCCGTGAGTGGGAATCGAACTTGGGTAGCCAAGTTCGTAGCGCAGCGTAGCGCTAACCGCTGCACCACCGCTCCCCACACACATGTTCAACCCAATGTAAACAAATCACCATGTGCATTATTTCCAATGCATATTAAAGTGTGTTATTTATAACAGAAAGGTATAAACAGCATTTCTAACCATGACTGTTTGGTTGGTATATAAAAAGTAATTAAGTAATTAATTGGTCAATAAAAAAAATATATAGTAATATAGGAAACTAAACAAAGAGCTGAGGTCACTACAAATCAAATATGTCCCAATGTAATAGGTGTGCAATGTCTACTATTACATTCCCATAACGATCTTGGGGATGACAATCTGATATTGTATTAAATATATAACATGGGCAACATTACTGTATACTGTATATGAATATATCACATACAGGTGTGGATCAGTGGTGCAGCGGTTAGCATACTGCACTATGAACCCAGCGAACTGAACCGCCAATATCTAGACTGGTCCCGGGCACCCTGGCTCTTTGTCACTAACCCGCACTGACCAGCGCGGTGAAGTATGGTCATACAACTCCAAACTCCCATGGTTGACAGGCAAAGGGGAGCCCTTCAACTGGCATTGATTTGGCAGGGCATTAAATGTATTTAAATAATATCACAGGTGAAGCTTGCTTAATATATAGCGCGTCAATAGATACATGTAAAAACAAATCCTCAAGGTCAAGCCATCTAAAACGGCTCAAGTGTTTCAGCAACATAATTTTAAAGTTGCCACTTTTTATTTCGCTGAAACTTGCTGAACGTACGACCCACCTCACATGAAGCTGCGCCAATGTTGACATGTACACATAAACGCGCAGCCATATGCCTGCAGCCCACCACTGTGGACATGAAACATGAGGTCCGCACAACAATATTGTTCACAAAAAGACAAACGTGTAAATAGCCGCCCGTCCGCCCCCTCTCAATTGATGTATATAAAGCCGAACGTGTAGCCACGCGCAACATTCCACCCCTAGCTGTTGACGCTCCTCGCTGCCATAATGATGGGGTTAGGGTGAGGCTCCCACTTCTTCCACGCGATCTGAGACACGTACAGCTGAGCGGTCGCCACCGCCAGATGAATACCCCGAGTTTAGAGTTGCAAGGCTAAACACCCGAGAAGCCGTCGTCAGCATCTCCCCCCCCCCCCCACCCCAGATTCTAGATTAAGGCTGCCCCATTGGGGGCCCCCGCTTTACATTCATAAAATCTGAGTGAGAACGAGCAGGGGTCGATAAAATAAGCACCACTCGGTGGGGAAGTCAATAGTGATTGTTTTTTTGATAGACTCACCCCCGGCATGGGAATAAGGAATTTACACCACTGGCTTAGTGACGTGAATCGGAGTAGAACACTTTCAGTGGAATGACAGTGGGAAGAGGCAGACAAGAGAATTGAGATTCAATTCCATAAGAGAAAAGGCACAGAAGTATAGTTGGAGTGAGGTGAGACGAGAGATGCAGACGAGAGAGGTGAATGCGATTAATCATATTTTCATTACGGCCATGAACTTTTATGTTTATCTGGAATTCAATTTGAAATGATAATGTGTTCACCGCTATTCATTTAATGAATCCAGGGCCTCTTGAGCTGCTTTTGCTTGGTTTGCTTCAGCCTGGCGCCAGCACTGGCCTTGCTTGCGTGCTCGCCGTCTATCAAGACGACTGCTGTCATTCACTCTGGTCATCATCATCATCATTGGTCATGATCAGTCCACTGCTGGATGAAGGCCCCCAAGCCATCGCCATTTCGATGTAACAATTCACATCGTGCACTGCACCCCATTAATATCCCTGCTTGATGTCCTCTTGGGCAAGTTCCCTCCCTTGCCTGCTACGCTATCGTCAGCCCTGACGACAGACCCTCATTATTCATTTATTTATAGCAATGTATCCTGCGGCGCTAGAAATAATATCGTACATATTTTGTCAGTGTAGGTTCTCCAGTCTATCCGTTGCTCTTTTTGCCTATCAATGCAACCGATTCCAAGCGTGCATCTATCCATGCTTCTTTGCGCAACTTTTTGATTTTTGTTCCCCTTTGTTCATTAATGTCCATGCGTCTTATCCGTATGTCACTGCAGATCAGATGTTGCACCGATGAGAAATGTTCTCTTGACGTAGAATCATATTAATTTCCCCCCAACTAAAGAAAATGTCACTAACATCGCAGAACTTACCACAGTGATATGTCAAACAAGGCAGCACATGTTTATATATATGTTTATATATGTGAACAAGGAAATACCTCGTCACTGAAAACGAGTTTTCTTACAAGCTTGACAACTGGCCATCATTCTTTCGTATTTTTGCCTTCAAATAGTTGTAAACAACCTGAAAAAATCATGCAATGATTTGACTGCAGTGAGCTTATTTCACCCACCAAAACATAGACTGTATGTTTTGGTGAGTGTATCTTAATAAGTCCAATTCATTACGTGCTTAAACGTACAAGAGCATATCCCGAGGTGCTGTACAGAACGATTCACGTAAACATAAGTAGAAAAAACAAACAGACCTCAAAAGATATTTAACAAAATCATGCATAAAACTATTAATGAATAGTATCACCATCCTAGATTTGCTGACGACATTGACATTATACCAACCAGTGGTAATGCACTGCAGGGGATGCTTGAAATAACGTAATATACAAAGGCTGGAGAGTGGGCTCGAAGATCATTTGCGAACAAACGAAGATCACTTATGAACGCATCCGCTGGACAAAGTAAAATAACTGTTGGATCGGACACAACCGGGAAACACAACAGGGCGGGCGTCTATCTCGAGCATTAGTTTGGCAATCAGGAGGAGGGTGATGAAATACACGAGGGAGGGCAAGGGCGGGTCGGAGGGCTTTTGGAAAATATGAACTTGACGGTGAATAGCGACGTAGCGATGTCCAATGCACCTGTTGTTAAACCGAACTGTTAAAGGCAACGTCCCTCGGCAGGGAGACGGGGCCTCGACAGTCGGACGGCGTCTGGTCCGGTTTTACGCGGCTCTGAACGATGGCACTGACACAGCTGGGATTGTTTGTTATTATTGTACCCGAAGAGATAATGTGTTTAATTAGCGTATGTCACCTGCTATGACATTGATTAGAAACAAGGACGTCTACAAAAGTATATGGATCGAAAGCTAAAAGGCAGGATGGAGAGATGTATGCTGGGAACTACGCAACAAAGGATGAGCATCATTGCTATGGCCAGAGGATAAAATTAATCCACAAATATCGGATGTTCTGCTGGTTGGCAGCACTCGGGGTCAGGTGAAAACATTTGTGGGAGGCACAGGTGTGGTGGTCGGAGACTCCAAGATTCAGTTTTCTAATCATCTAAAGAGCCTTGCCACCATACTCGACCAGAATGTTGTTTGATCACCACGTGCAACATATAGTCAAGTCCTACAATTTTCATATGAGGACTCTGACATAGCCAACACAGTGGCGTGCAGCATACTATCGGCAAGGCTCGATTATTGAAACTGACTACTCTACGGGACGTCTGGCAAAAACAGCAAGCTGCGACGTGTACACAATTTTATTTGTCACGTGTCGAGATGGGTACTGCGGGATGAAGATCCGACCATTAACTACTTTTTGTTTTTTAGTTTGCTGTCCTTCCCCCGCACCTCCGACTAGCACGGTTGGCTACGTACGGTGCGAAATAAGGTCAACAAACATACATACACACATTATGGACATCATATCGAATGTCCAGAGAAGGTGAGCTTGGGTAGGACACATCGGCAAAAGAGATGAAGGCCA